ATAGGACCATTTAGGTACTATCCATTTAACTTGCTATCTCCTACTTTCCTTACTGTCCACTCTGCTTTCAACTTCTTATAGCCAACTTCTGATTTGAGCATCAGAGTTTAAATACAAGAAACACTCTTTGTCTTTACCTTTAATTGCTCTCTTTTATGTGATTTCAAGATTTTGTCCTTCTTCTTGGCAATCCACACCAAAATTTGGCGCCCCAGGTAAAGGCTATACATTCTTTAGCTGAGCTAAACAATATGCCACCCAAAAAGAGAGTTCTTAAAGAATGAGAGCTAGCCATTCTAGCTGGAACTGAAACCCATACTAACCAACCAACAAACTGACTTGCACTTCTAGTAGACCTAACAATAGAACAATTTCTAACCTTAAGCAAATAGATACAAGCCTTCAATCAAATGCTCCAAGCCATAACCCCACCACATACCTCCAAAGTAACCGACTTAGTCACCCTTGGAAGACAACCAACAAAAAGGCAAATGAGTTATGAAAACATTAAGGTTTCATCAACTTTTCGAAAAGAAGAGCTTGCACCACCAGTCAAGCTTTACCACTCATACACCTTTATACCAACCATCACCCAAAAAACAAAAAAACTCATTCTTGAACCCCAGTAGAACAAAAATCTTGGAGTTTAAATGCAACCACGGTGGTCGCCATCACCAGTGAACTCAATGATAAAAGTTACCACCGAAAGCTTACACTCTCCCTTGAATCGCCAAAGAAATTAGTCGTCATGCTACTTATCGCGAAAAACTATGTCAACGCTGAAACTACAAGAAAAAATCAAGGTGAAAGAGATTGATCCCCCTTCCTCGACAGCCAAGACGAAAAAGGCTCATCCTCTTTCCTCAACTGAAAAAAAAAGGTAATAAAATCTATGAGCCTCCCCCAAGAAAAAGAGACAACAAGAATACCCTAAAGCTAGGAGCCTGAGCAAATAACGTAATTACACAACACTGAATACCTCCCGAGAAAGTATTTTGATATAAAAAGAAAACGAACCCGAGCTTAGATGGGCAAAGCCACTGAGACAAAACACTCGATAAGACCCTAACAAAATATACGCATTTCACAAGGGCTTTACCATAACATTGAAGATTGTATCGAGTTGAAAAATGAAATAGAAAGTTTGATCATAAGAGGTTGGCTTGACAGATTTGTGAACCGACGAAAACAGCGTCAAGGTAGAATAGAGTACAAAAAAGAGAATCAAAAGAAATAGTCAAAAAAAAATCAAGAGGGAACACTAAAAGGGAACCGAGGTGGCAGACAACAAAAAATGAATAGGAAAAACAAGGCTAAAGCAATAGAGGATGAGGTCAATAAATTGTTAAAAGCAGGCTTCATTAGGGAGGTTTACTACCCTATTTGGATTGCCAACATGAAGGCGATAAAAAAGCACAATGAAAAGTGAAAAATGTGTGTGGACTTTATCAACCTCAACAAAGTCTATCCAAAAGATAGCAATTCCCTTGCAACATAGATCAACTAGTAGATAACAAAGACAAAAACAACTTGCTTACCTTTATGGATGCTTATTCAAGTTACAATCATATTAAAATACTTAAAAAAAGATAAGAAAAAAATAGCCTTCATAACAAAAAATTTCTACAAAGCCATGCCTTTTAGCCTGAAAAAATCATGAGCAACCTATCAAAAGCTAGGATCTTCAAGGACCAGATCGATAGGAATATAAAAGAATATGTTGATGACATGATAGTGAAGAGCAAGAGCTTGATCAAACGCTTGAAAGACCTAGAAGAGACCTTCAATACCCTAAGAAAATACAACATAAGATTCAATCCGAGCAAATGTGCTTTTGACATCACGTGGGGAAAAGTTCTTCGATTACATGATCAACAAAAATGTGATAAAAGCAAACTTGAAAAAGTCCAAGTTATTTTAGACATGAAAGTACAAACCTTAATTAAAGAAGGGCAAAAGCTAACAAAAGATTGCTACCTTGAGCAAATTTATGTCTAGGTCAACAAAATGGTGCTTATCATTTTTTAAAATTATCAAGAATATCTCAGACTTCAGATGGACACCACAATGTCAAAAAGCTTTTGAAGAGCTTAAACAATTTATTTTCTCTCTGCCTATTTTATTAAAGTCGAGGCCTGATGAAACGCTTTACTTGTACCTTACTACCATCAACGAGGCCATTAGCTCAAATCTGGTTAAAGAAAAAAAAAAAGACAAAGGCCTATGTATTTTATAAGTGCTAACAGAATCTGAAATAAACTATGCCGAAATAATAAAAAAAACTAGCCTATGTAGTTGTCATGTTGGCCAGAAAACTCAGGCCATACTTTCATGCCCACATAATTAAAGTCTTGATCGATTAACCACTTAGGCAAATTCTAAAAAAATAAAAATTATCTAGTAGACTAATCAAGTGGATAGTTGAACTCAGTGATTATGATCTGCTTATACTATATAGGTCAGCTTTACAATCACAAGTGTTAGCAAATTTTGTTGTCAAATGCACATCGACCCAAAATAATGGACGACCTAAAGAGGCTAATGAAATCAAAGAAGAAAAAATGTAAAAATTTTTAACTGACGGTCAGCTACAAGCCAAAGAAATAGAGTCAACCTAATTCTGATCACTCTAAAAAATGTATAGTTCACGTATGCCTTAAAAGTTCAAACTCAAAATTTGAATAACAAGGCCAAATCTGAAGCCCTAATAACCAGCCTAAAATTGCCAAACAAGTTGAATGCGAAAAATATTATTGTATACAGTGATTCACAGTTAGTGGTTGGTCAAATAAATAGAGAGTTTGGAGGTAGAGGAAAAGGAATAAAGAAATATCTAGAAAAAATGCTAACTTACTTATTCGCATTTTCTAATGCCAAGATTAGGAATATACCAAGGTCACAATGGTTGACTTGCTGTCTAAACTAGCTTCAAAAATGACAATGAAAAACTCAACTCAAGTTTTGATGGAAAAGTTGGCAAAGAAAAGCATTGAAGAAAAACTAGTCAATCATAATGAAAAGAAACAATCATGGATAACTCCAATCAAAGCATACTTGACAATAGGAGAACTACCCAAGGATAAAGTCCTAGTTAAAGCTCCAATGAGAAAAACTCCTTGATACACCGTGATTAATGGGAAATTGTATAGAAAATATTTAGTTTGCCTTCCCTAAGGTGTATAGATGAAAAAGAAATAAACTACATACTTAGAGAAATACACGAGGGAATCTGTGGCAATCACCTCGAACCTTAACCATTTGCTTAGAAGGTACTGAGATAGGGCTACTACTAACCAACTATCAAAAATGATGCGATCAACCTAGTAAAAAATGTAACAAATGCCATAGGTTCACATATATATAACACTTCACATCCACTGACTTGGCCCTATCATCAGCCCTTGGTTTTTCATGTAGTGGGGAATATATGTCCTTGCTCTATTCATTTTAGCCACAGGGTAAAAAAAGTTTGAAATAGTAGCAATTGATTACTTCATAAAAGAGCTTGAAACTGAGGCTTTAGCCATCATTAAGAAGCTTAGGTTAAAAAGTTTGTCTGGAAGAACATATTATACATATTTAGTTTATCTCAGTCTATAATAACGGACAATGAGAAGCAATTTACAACCTAAAGTTCAAGGAATGGTGTGCCAATCTCCACATTGATCTGAGATTCACCTCAGTCAACCACCCCTAGTCTAATGGGTAGGCCGAGGCTACCAACAAAACTATACTAAAAGCCCTTAAAAAGAGACTAGATGAAGCCAAAGGTAAATGGGCCGACGATTTGCTCAGTGTATGGGCTCTTAAAATTACCGCCAAGGTCTTCACGAGAAAGACACCATTTCATTTAGCATTTAGGACAGATATAATGGTGCCCATAAAAATTGGCCTCCCGAGCTTACGAGTTAAGCTCAAATTTGTAAAGGGAAATGAAAATACCCTTAAAGCCAATTTGGATTTGGCTGAGGAACAAAAAAATGTAGCTTTGACCAAAATAGTAGTCTATTAATAAAAAATAGCTAACTTTTACAATAAAAAAGTTCAACGCAAAAATAGAAAAAAAGGCGACTTGTACTTAAAAAGAAAGAAGCCTCAAAAGTTGATGATTGAGGTGAAAAATTAACCCCAAATTAAAAGGGCCCTACATTGTTAAAGAGATCATCCATGATGCAACCTACAAATTATAAGACATGAAATGCGGACAATCTTAAAGTCTATTACTAGTGATGTAGAGCCGAGCTCACACTTGTAATTTTGAAGGAAATTTGTTTAATAAAAGTCCCAACTATTAACTCCATTCAATATATTAAGAAAGTCCAGAGTCTAAGCAATGTGCCACACCCAAAGCCAAGTTAAAGTGTTATCCAACTTGATAATTGACTAAATTTTTATCCTATATTTCTAAAATGAATCTCGAGGAACACATTTTTAAATCGAATTAGCACTATAAGAATAGTCTTTTAGTAGGGGTTATGACTCTCACAAAAAATTCATATAATCCTCACTTATTCTTTTAACGAGAGTCAATGTGACTCTCATAATCTCTCACTATAAGTTCCCTAGTTAATTATATATAATGAGAGACAAAATAAAATTCATTATATCTATCATTTAGTGAAGGTTAAAAGAGCTTCACTAAATGTAAATAATTAGTGAAAGTTTATTTCAATCATCACTAAATGAAAAACTTATAGTGAAAGTCAATTTTGACTCTCACTATATCTTTTACATTTAATGAAAGCTTTTATTAATTTTCACTTAAAGGTTTTACTTTTAGTGAAAATTTGTATTAATCCTCATTTAAAATTATTTTTATTGAGAATTATGACCTTCACTATAGCATTTTACATCATTTAGTGAAAAAATCTAAGACCCTCATGAAAAATACTTATTTATTTATTTTATTTTATTTGTTAATATACTTATATATTTTTTATGTTTTTAACTCTTACTCCAAACAAAACATAAATAAATAATATTTGTCCAAATAATTATTGTATAAAACCAAATAAGCATCCATATATACAAATTCCAAATAATATACAAATATCTCTTGAGCATATCAATTCTTTTTAAGTACTTTATAGTTTTTTATCTAAAAAACTTAAACAAGTTAGCAAGACAATCAAGTAATACACAGTCAAAATCAACAGGAATCCCTCCCTCATATCATTTCCTTCTACCACCAATAAAGAATCTCTTAGTAGGTTGAAATTCTTAAGGCCAAAAAAGAAACTCCATATGATGAAGCCATTGTTAGGCATTAAGCATGATTTCAATAAGGTTCATCTACCTGCAATGCTTCCTTGTATGAAATCTTACATTTGCAAATAAAAACAAATATGGTGAAAGTCATCCACCCCAAATAATTGGTCAATGAGACAAGATTGGAGTTTTAGTGCGATAATAAATTTTCGTTTTAGGTTGTACATTACATCCTTTTCTTTTTTTCATTCACTTTCTTTTCCAAGTAGTATGCTCAGTTTTACAATGGCCAATTGATTACATATAATCTGAGCAATACTTGCAGCTAAGCAACATTCTTTCGTAGAAAGCCTCAAAACAAATAGTTCCAAAGTTACAGAAATAAAACATCAAAGAACCGAGCTGCATAACAAACACAAAGAAATTGAAACACTCAATGCCGCTCACACCCAAGCAATGAACAGATCATGTCTCTCTACACCAGCGTAACCAACCCATTAACCAAACAATTCTTTCCCTTAGAATATACTAGAATTTGAAAAACTTTAAACTATTGACAAGATAGTTTATGCATTCAAAGTTCCCTGCCAACTTACCATGAAAGTTCTACTTGACAACATTCATTTACAGGCCTATCCAACAAAAAAAGATACAAACGGTGTCCATGTTCCTAGCGATGATCAAGGCTTAACAATTTATATTAAAAAACAATAATTAAAGAAAATAGTAATAGCCACTTACCACCCTTCCATATTTGGACACCTCTGCTGCTTTAGCTTTCCACTTGGAAAACCTACACTTATAACAATCAGAAAAGTCCTTGACATGTCAAAAAGGCTCAAATTATTTATTTGAAATCACATATAGCATATTAGCTACAAAAACACTGCTATAAAAGCTTAATGCATTTTTTTTACAACACAGACAGGTCTATTAAAATATGAAAACGAAGAAAAAGATGGCCATGATGACATACATATAGCATATAAGGAGTAAATGTAGGTAGTAGATCTAAACAAAGAATCAATCAAAAGTCCACCAATAGAAAAAAGTGGCTAAATTTGGCAAAAATAAAAAAGTAAGCGATTTAAACCATCGACAAGTAAACATAGATTATGACTTGTAAGTTCGGGAATTAAAATAAACTTCAATTGCTTTTTCCTATAAATATAACAACTCCACCAGCAGATACCCTTTCAAAATCAGGAAGTGTCTTGTTTAGATATCTTGGAGACAAGTAATCTAATGCATTTGAAACAATTACAAGAGGGAACGACTTCGGCTGGTATGGAAAAGAAATTTGCTGTCAGACACCATTTCACATTAGTCCTTTGCAGTTAGTATCCGCTTCCTTAATTTCATACAGCTCCATACCCCAAGCTTCAGTTTCATCCTCTTTTAACAAATTCAAGACCAGTGAACAAGCCATCAAAAACTATCATTTTTTATTAGTGTGTCTAAAATAAAATGTCAATTACAAAATTCAACCACTAATGTAAACAACAAAAAGAAACAGAAGGTGACCATGAATAGAAACTGGTACAAGTTGCTTTTGAAAGAAATAAAAACATAAATTAGCCAACCTGTGGACATTAAGGCCAACAGTCAAAATTAGCAACCACAATTTGATGATTCATTATCTGAAAAATATGGGTTACCTGAGTAAATGCCTGATACCTTTTCAATATTTCCAACATAATAGCCTCTCCTTGAGAACTTCAAATTAAATTTGAATTAGAACAACTACAAACTTGGTTTTGCTTAAGACAGAGAGAGAAAAGTGGACTCATTGAAAGAAAAAATCACCCAACCTTGCTAAAATAAGGGACAGAACATCAAGAATGGTCAACCACAATGAATCAACCATTGAAATGTAGAGAATTGTAGTTTTTCCAGAACGCTTTGCTGAAGGGACATAATCACATCAAAGGGATTCAAGCTGGTTGTACCAAGAGAATATAAAATTTGGAAAAAATTTTAAAGCATATAACATCATATAAACATAGGCCACATTCCCATTTACCTCCCCAGCATCTACTGCTTCGTCAGTCAGTGAAGTTACAATAAAGACAACACCCAACAAGCCATCAATTGCCAAAAAAATAGCATGTACCTCATTAACAACCAAGACTGATGCATTTGATGCATCATTGTAAAGACTCCACTCAATTCCTGCCAATTACAAACCAAAATATGTAATGGACGTCACTAACAACGATAAAATTCATGGATTAAGAAACTATGAAATGGTTATAAGTTTACATACCAAAGCATTAATGACAAAAAGAAAGCATTTGATATATGACAAATCAAGCATTGTTAAATTCAGAAGCCAGCGTGAAGAGTAATACCCCTTGGGTCAGTAGAGTTGTTGATATTGACAAGTAAGTTGTGGATCAAAAGCTGAAGACTGCTAAAAGTTAGAAAAGATGATTGTCAAGAGTGACTTCAGTCATTTGATTAGGTTCAATATACATTGCAAATAACTTCAATTCTGTCATATGTGCATATGCATAAACACTGATAGAGACCTATATAAATGCTTCAACATGGATATAAACTTTGACATAGATACACATGCGCATTGGGAGATCTGATCCTCTAAATATATGAAAAAAATTTTTAAAAAAAATTGAAAGTATCCATGTCAAATACATATTCAGATCTAACACTAACCTCTTCTATTCAAGTAATATAAGACCAGACCATTTATCTATCATAAAAGATTAGAGCTTGTTGGAAAATTAATTACCTTAATGTGGTTCAAGGGAGCCAAATTCATACAAGTGATGATCAACCTCTATAGGCTTTTCTGCAATGTCATGACAAGAATTAAATTGATTATAAGAGTGGTTTCTATTGGCAACAGTGCGAATTAGATAGTACGATTTAATTATTTCCAAAAAAAGTGTAGGAATTTGACCATTGTCTTTCTTTTTACATGGTTTAGAACTCTTTTTTGCTAACTTTCCAGGTAAGCAGATCCAATCTTTTTATCTATGCAGTCAAATATACATATACAGTTTGGAAATAGGAATTCAAGAGAATAACTTATAGCAAATTGACTTATCATAGGACAATAGCTCATGAAACATACACAAAGACTTTTTTTTTTTTTGCTCTGGAAATGGACAGTTAGAATTCTAAAGAAAACAGGCAAAATTCCTAGCCCGCTTGCTGATGATAAGGCAAAGGGTTAGCTATGGCTTACCAGTATATGAATTCCGAGTGCATTCAATTTGGGTCAAATTCCGAGATTAAGTGAACAAAGTGGCCTAAAAGGAGGGAAACTCTTCATATTTTAGATTTTTATAAGAGCAAGAAATTCAATGCATCAATTAGTCGATACTATAAAAGCAAATTAATCACAAAGAAGTCTTGACTCTAAACTTACAGGATAAAATGGTGCTCTTTCCAGATTATCACAACCATCTAAGCAAATTTTCTTAAGACAAGGACATGCAAGATCCAGAGTAGTAATAGCATGACAACCAACTAGAGAAAGACTAACTAAAGATGTACTGGAGAACAGCACTGCTATCAAGCTCTGGTCAAATTAAAAACAAGAAATTTAGTCAGAAAGCATAGCAATGCATGAACTAAAGAGCTATATTTATTAAATAGTACCAAAAACAATCAAAAGAGTATTGGTAAGTAATAATAGATGCAGACTAGAATTCAAATAGATAAGTCTACGGTGCCAATTACTTGGGCTACATTTGGGAAAGAAGCCATAAACCTGCATCAATGGAAAAACATGTTATTAGTAGACAACCATGTAATGCAATTTGTTAATAAGATACTTAATAAGTGAATTGTCTAAAAGAAAAAATAATCACCTATTGGCATGTGCATTTTATACAAAAAAAAAAAATCATCAAAGCTCATCATCTTCATTGTCTAATTCTACCATTCGCCTTCTTTTTCTCCTCCTTTTCCTTCCATTTTTCTTTCTTTTTCTCCTTTCTAATGAAACATGTGTTTCCCTTGTCTCTCTAACAACATCAACCCTTTGCCAAGTCGGAATATCTTCACAATTACCCATATCAACCGGTAAACTTTGAGAAGTAGCTTGATTTTGTTGATATGGCTTATCTTCTTCAATTCAAAGAGAAATAGGAAGAAGATATTTGGCATCTCTACTTCTCTAAATCAAATAGGCATTTAATTATTCAAAAAAAAAATCATAAACCATTGGATAAGCAGATAAACTAAACATCTAATTCTAGAAAGCAATAAACTCGAATTCTTAACATAATCATTAGCAGTATCAAAGGAATAAGAAATAAATTATAGATAGAGCAATAGCAATCAATTGTATATTGACAAATAAAAGATTGAATAATGAAAAGAGCCAGCTCCAACTATGCTATTTAAGTCAACAGCGCTAAGATTTCAACATTGAATCACTTTTTTCTCTAATTAAACTTGGGTGATAGAGTTCAAAACTAACCTAAAATTATAATAAACAAATCGAAACGCACCAAACTGACCTTGCCTATGCGTGAGAGTAGGTGATCGAATCCGCACACAACGCTATAAGCTGCAACGCCCTGGATTATGCCCTTTCATGAGCGAGACGCGGGTACCAAAGAAGCTAGAGGGCTGGGTAAATAAAAAATTATCATTAAAATCTACAAAGTTCGAACCAAATTTTAAGAAAAATAAAAGAGAAAAAAATGAACCTTGGTAGTTGTGAGACGAGAAGAAAACGGTTTTAGGGCTTGGTGATAGTTCCTGCAGTAATATGTTAGGCTAATAACCACAGCTTGCATTTTCAAATCAAATATATTTGATTTGGACGGATAAAACAGAATTAATTACAATCACAGAAGTATGCGATTAATCACTCTTTCGTTTCTAAACTTCGATTTTCCTTTTTTTTTTCTTTCCGGTGGATTTCTAGTTGGGCGTGTTTTAAGCAATGTTTGGCTGCAATCTGCAAATGAATTTATATTATCGTAATCGGTGATTGTGAAGTGGGGATAATATTTGAAGCTTTTGGTTAGATTTGTTTTAAACGCCCATACAAGTGAAGGTCGAGTTGAGTGGATGACCCTCACTTACCAATTTTTTATTTATTGGTTTTTCAATATTTTTTTAATATCTTTTAAAATTTAGTTAGTGCTTTGCTATTGCAAAATGTATATATTTTTATTTAATAGTATCACATCCACATTATTAGAATATATTTAAATATTTGTATATTTATTTTTTAAAAAATATATATTCATAAAATTTATAACATTTTATATAGTGAGGATCAAATGTTTTCTCATTAAATCTACTTATATTAATTTTTACACCTCCTTTTCGTCATAATCAAGATAAAATTTTATATAAGTGAAATATATTTGTAAGAATTTTAGATCCTCACATAAAATACTAAATTAGTGAAAGTTATATGTGACTCACAACAAAAAAAAATAGTGAAGGTCCAAACACAGTACTCACAAAAAATTTATTTCAACAAGGACTAATGTTGGCCTTCACTACATAAAAACTTTTACCGAGTATCAATGTACAACTCTCACTAAAATCTAATCAAAACAAGCTTTTCTTGTAGTATGGCACTTGAATAATTAAATTCAGTTTATTATATCTAATTCTCAAGTTAATTTAATATATCTTCAAGTTAATTTATTAAATTTAATGAGTCGATCTCATTATCTTAACCTAGATGAAACTTGAATATTTATTTTGATCATATCTTTGAAGTAAATCGTAAAGTAAAAAACTAAATACAAAGCTAAAACTTTGAGCAAAAGTATTTGTATTAATCTCATAATAGAATTTTACTTGAGTGATTACAAAAAACGAGTTGACAAAACTTTTGTTGAGTGATTCCATTACATGGTATGATTTGACAAAAATTTAATAGAGTGATTTGATCAAAGATCCCCACAATAATCTGACCTCCCACTTAAAAAAAAAACAAAAGAGATAAAAACAAAAATTTCACCTTGTGTAATGCTAGATTAAATGATGATGTCAAAGACATCAATATTAGGATAAAGGAACTTCACCTCGTCCAATGCCAGATCAAACGCCCTAAGGACATTCTCAGTGGCAAAGGTGGTCTATAAGGAATAGTAAGTTTTAAATGCCATAAAGTCCTTAACCATTGCTCTTTGACCTCCTTCTTGGTTTTCCTCTTAGCCTTAAGCTCCAACCTCAACCTTACAATTTCAAACTTGGCCTCATTAAGCTTTTGCTTGGATTGCTGCTAAAGAGACTCAACCTCAACCTTTTGAACTTGTGCCTCCTCCAAACGAGTAGCAAAATCATTATATTTCCTTTTGAATTTTTTCTTTCCTTCTCATGCTTGAAATTTCAAACACTACAAAAAAAAACCTAAAAGAAGTACCTTTTTTAGGGATGACAATTTTCATGAATTTTCTAATCACCTCGGGCTCTTTAAAGGCTTTTTCTTTGGAGTCATACTCCAAACTAATTGAGAAGTGCTCTGAGGTGGGTTAGATGGGTTGAAGCTTAGGTGCTGTTGTAAAGAAGGTGGCTTTAGTCTTTTGTCTTTTAGGAAAAAAGGCATTTTAACCTATTGTTACCTTCTATTTCTACTTGCCTTTAACAATAGTAAAGGCTTGACTTGAAGAGTTCAGTGATTGAGGAACAGGCAAGTCTATTATTTTAATACCTCATCGAAAGAACTTCAAGTTGGACTAGCTGCTTCTTGTCTTTCTTAGGCCTCGTCGTGTGTGTAAACTGAGTAAAATTGATTTTTTTTTTAAGATTTGGCAATGCCAAACATATTTGTGAAATGAGCTAAATGTTAGAAAAAATTTACAAAAATAAATGTTTTGTGAGATTACCTCAAACCTACCATAATACTTGGTTCTTTTAATTACATTAGAGTCAACTCAAAGGTGTTAATAACCAGCTCTCCCCTACGAATGAACTCTAAAATCTTATCCCAAGGACTCAGATCGATTATTATCAAAGGAATCGGATCATCAACAAAAATTTTAAACTCATTGATTATCTCTCACACACCGGGTTCCCTCTAATCATCTATCTTTTTTATATAGAGGAAGAGTAGCTTCTAGCTTTTTATTGAACTTGGACAATCTGAGAAGATTTTCTTGGTTGGTTGAGCTATAACGTATAGTTAGCTCTTATCATGAAGGTGTTTTTTAACTACGAAAAAATTCTTTAAATAGAAGGATAGTTGAAAGAATATCTAAGTTTATACAAAGAATAATAAAAAGCTATTATGTACTGAAAATAATTTAGAGTAAGCTGAATGATAGTTAATTTATAAGAATTAAAAAATTTAACAATTAAAAAATGTAAAGAAAACCTTAGAGTACCATTATGAAGTCCTAATACACCCAGATCTGGTAATCTTCTAAGGGAGAAATGACCTTAGGATTGTAAATGAATTGAACATGAATGAATGAACATATATTTGTGGTTTGTTCATTTATTTTTAAAAGTGTTCGTATTCGATTTGTGTTTGTTAAGAAAATTACTTTGTTGTTCATATTCGTTTATTTAAATAATAGGTTGTTTATGTTCATTCAATTAAATTAAATGAGCTCGTTCGTAAATATTAAATGAACATGTTCAGGAACATATATAAACTAACATATTTATGAACAATAAACAAATCATAATCAAACGAATTTAAACAAACCTTAAATGAACATAAACGAATCCAAACAAATATAAACAAACCTTAAAATAGGATTAGGGTAAAGGATACAAATGTAATTTTGTTAGTATTATTATAAACAAACAGCAAATGAATAATAAACAAACAATCAATGAATGAGTTTTAAACAAACTTTAAACAAGCTTGTTCATGAACATAAACAAACCAAATAAACCTCTATTCATATTCAGTTCGTTTAATAAACGAACATAAAAATATTGCTCAAGATCATCTATTAAACTTAATAAATAAATATAAATGAATAAAAATAGAATATGTTTACGAACAGTTCATTGAAAGCTCTGTTCATTTATACCCTTAAGTGACCTAGTTATTGATGGTCAGCATCAGCACACTGTATCCCTTTTTTGAAAGGTTAAAGTTAACCTTTAAAGATTGAGCATGATGTATAGAGCACATGTTAGGACAATTTTTAGGATTGGTCTTGCTCTTTAAGCTTTTCATTATATTCTTAGGGATTGAACCTAAGTTACAAGAAATATAGAAAGGAATTTAAACTAAGACCTCTAAATCTAAGGAGATCTTTTTCTTTTTTTTCATTTTTCTCTTCAGCCTAGTCGGACCCCCTTTCTTGCTTCTCGTTGAAACCCTTTTCACTCTTAAAATTTTCATTTTTGGAAGATTCAGATTTTAGAAAAGCAGGATTTCACACCCTAGTGGTAGCTGAAACCACCATGACATCATAAGAAGCAAAAGAATAGCAAGGATACCCATCAGACAAGGGGGAAGAATCAAGAATAAAAATTGAGATCAATTTAGAACGTTGGTGAAAAGAAGTAAAAGAAACGGAATAAGGTTTAGAATGAGGAGAGGAAATAGAAAAGAAAGAAGAAAGGTCAACTGGTGAAGCTAAACTGACCTTAAATATAAGAGCTTGAAGATTTTCAAGCTCGAAGTAAATTACAACCACAAGCTCATCTATCCTATCATAGATTTGCTCTCCCCTAGTGTAAGCACTGTCTTCAACTTTTTTTTTAATCTTCCTTTATCATTGGGTACAACCAAAAAGTGAATTTATAATAGTTTTTTCTTACGATAAAAGAAGAGACTAAGTCATTTGTCGATTGACTTCCAAGTTGTCCTCCTCTTAGCTCCACCTTATAACTCCCAACACTATTCTATCCAAAATCAAAAGAAGAGAAAAGAAAAAAAAATCAGCTAAAAGAAGCTAGCAAATTTTAGGTCAGGTGAAGTAGGTCGGCTTGAGAGCAAGAATGTTGTAAAGTAAATAATGAAGGCCCTAAAATGCCTTTTACATAGCCAACATGAAGATTAGATGAATGCTCTAGATTATGCCACGTGTCCTAAATCTAACTGAGGATAACCCCTCACATTTTTAGCTTTAGGCTTTATCATTTAATTTTCTCTCTCCTTTTATTAATTGTGATTTTCAAATAATAAAGGGACAAATTGATCATTCAACTTATTCAAACTGGTCAAAAACCCAAGCTAAACCGGCCAAACAAGTCAAACACCAACTTAATCTTGAATTAAACCAAAATATCAAATTCTAATACTAAGAAAAAACATAAGTCTCACATTGATCCATACCATGTTAGATGCATAAACTATATCAGCAATTACTTATAAGTTCACTTGGTCCAACCTAGGTCTGCCATGACATTGGATCATTCATCTTAGTAACCTCAAGACGAACCAATTAAATGAATAATTCAAAACCCGCACTCAAGGTCAAGCTTGGTACCATTGAGCACATATCAGGTTGGCACATACCAGATTGGCAAAGTCCACACTCTATAGTTTGATACTCAGATTGCTCGATAGGAGGATAACATGTTAGAGGTATTTTTTGGTTCAAAAGGCAAATTGGTCATTTCCTCTATTAGAGACTATTAGTAGATAGTCAAGGGCATTTTTTACTTTTAAATTGACCTAATATATCGAATCAACTTGACATGTATAGTGCCATGTCAGCTCGTTAACATCACCAACTTACTTTACAAACCCCTAACGTTCCATCTATAAATAGGCCCATCTAGGTACTATCCAACTTATTATCTCCTATTTTCCTTACTCTTTACTCTTATTCTGATCTCTTATACCCAATTTTTGACTTGAGCGTCAGAGTAAAAATGTAAGGAATATTTCCTACCTTTACCTTTAATCGCTCTTTTTCTTGTGATTTTCGGATTTTACTCCTTAGTTCGGAACTTGGTAGTAACACTTTCTTTACATTTAGATATGTTAATCTTATCCAAATTCATCAGGTAATCTAATTTTTTTTTTTTTTTTTACTTTGATGGTAATGGGGATGGGTATTAAATTTTAGCGATGGAAACAAAGATCAATATGGTTTTAAATTTTTTATCAAGTACGTGGATGAGTAATATAACATCTGTCTTGTATTTGTATTATATATATTTATATACATTTAATAAATTAATTTTTTATTTAATAATATATATTTTATTTTAAATTAATTAGTACTAATATTATTTATAAAAATTTACATAAATGTGTAAGATAAAAATAAAAAATAAATTTTATTTTTATAAAAAAATTAAGACATGAGAATTACCCATACTCATTAATTCTTATGAAGATGAAATTAAAATAAATTTAAAATACTCATTTAATATGAATACAGAGATAAATATATATAAAAACTTAGAAGTAAAAATAAAAAATACTTTACTCATTTCATAATTTATCCATTGACTCCCAATTCTTTATGATAAATTAAAATTTTCTCATTTCTTTTCAATTTATAATCTTTTTCTACTATGACAGAATAAAAAATTTTTTTATCACAAAACTAAAATTTGTAATAGATTTTTCTTTAATTCCCCAAAATTCAAAGGTATAGATAAAAAGTTATTGCTTAGTATAAAAACACAGCGGAGTGCTAGTCATTCCAATCGCTCAGAAGAGACTCTTTTGTCAGACTTGGTCAAAGACCTTAATCTCACCAAGAATTTAACCTTCTTCTCTCCATTGGACCCTTCTTTCTTCTTTTTCCCGTTTACCCCAACTTTCAAAGAAGATGCGTCCCATCGCTCTGGCGACCTCATAGCCAACGAGCTCTCCGGCGACCTAGTCATCATTATCTCGTCGTAGTCAGCCTCACCACAGCCTTGATTCTGTGTCTGCAACTGCATCGCAGACACCACCTCTTTCAGAGCTACGTCAGGTTGCCCTCTATTCCTTAACAGCACCTCCCCTATCTGAGCTGGAGTTAAGGACCCACCAGAGTTTATGCAACTCTCAACCACTTGAAACAAGGGGTGGTAGTCGAGGTTGAGATAGTTCCTAGCCAGAACCCTGAAGGCATGCATCCCACACCTACCCAGGCTGACATGCATATCCATGCGACCGCACCTAACCAGAGCTGGATCCACGTTGTCCCTGTGGTTGGTGGTGAAAACTATGATTTTTTCCTCTCCGCAACAAGACCACAATCCATCAGTGAAGTTCAAGAGCCCTGATAACGTCACTCTTCCATTCTCTTTATCAGCATCTCCCTTCATCGCCACGGATGGCTTTGGCCGTGAACGTGATGATCTCTTTGACAGTCTGTCCATCGTTAGATCAAGGGAACAATCTATGTCCTCGATCACAATGATGGAACAATTGGTGGTCTGAATCAGCAGAGCCCTCAACTCAGAGTTGTCTGTCACTTTAGTGAGCTCCAAATCGTAAACATCGTAACAAAGATAGTTTGCCATGGCGGCGATCAAGCTAGACTTGCCAGACCCAGGAGGCCCATAGAGCAAGTATCCTCTTTTCCATGCACGTCCTACCCTGTGGTAGAATTCTCTCCCGCTCGCAAAAGCTGTGAGGTCTTCCATTATTTGCTTCTTCAGTTCTGGCTCAAGAGCCAGCGTGTCAAACGTAGAGGGGTGGCGAAATGGGACAGATACCCAGCCTGACTCGCAGGACCCGTGCCCATTATTGGTGAAAAGCCTCCTTTCACGTGACACACGCACAAACTCCTCAGCCTTTGAACTTACATGATCAAGGTAGGACTTGAGGAGGGTCTGGCGATGGCGCTTAGGAAGCTTGAGAGTGAAGCTGCGCTTATCCTCGAGAGTGTCCTGCAACGTCTCCACATGGTGAGTCCATGAGAGGTTGTGGCCGTTGAACGTGTCGTGGATTGTGTGGTTGGGAGCCACAGTGAAGGAGATGCATTTGGAGGACTTAGAGCGAGCGAGTATGAGACGCCGGCAGGTGGCGGAAGGGTTGACGGAGTTGAGGTAGAAGTTGGCTTGGCGATAGAGGTCGTTGAAATCGACCCCGCTGCAGCCGTTGAATTCGGGGATCTCGAAATAATAGTAAGGGGAGAAGAAGTCTTGGAGGGACTCGTAGAAGGAGTGGAGGACGGAGAGCAGTTGCGTGGGCAAGATGTTCTGAAGGACCGTCAGGAGTCCGAGGAATGACCACATTTGTGACAATATCTCCATCATAATTTATTGGCTTTCTTTGAATGAAGATTTTGTCTTGTCTGGGGTTCGTTTCTAGTTTCTGTATGCAATGGCTTTCTTTGAATAGATATAGTTGGGATAAGAGAATAGCACAGGAATTGGAGGCTTGGAGCTTTGGTTTTCTTTTTTTGTTTTTTTTGGTCGTATGGAGCTTTGGTTTTCAAAGTGTGAACTGTGAATAATGAGTTATGATGTTAGTACTTAAGGTATATTCGAGTGTTGAGTGAAAAAAGATAGTACTAATTGGGGTGCAATGCGTGCAGTGATCGAGGCACTAAACCAACTGCTTGGAAGAAGTGCTAAAGACACTGTTTGAGATTGAAAAAGAAGCGGCAAAGATAAAGTTAAAGGTGAAACCGACAGCTCTTCTTCACCATCTTTTCTTTTTGGTTGTAAAAGAATTACTTTAAGCACCAAAAAAGAAAAAAAAATGCTTTGCAAATTGCCTTTATCTTTCTCTTGTAAATCGTAATTAGCTAGGGTTCTCATAGGTGAGGGAATAATCTTAGAATATTAGCCCCGGATAAGACTAAGATTGATAATTTGAGAAGAATCTTGTACATTGTATATTTATGTTTTTGAACCAAATCAACTTTATATACATAAGTGCCTAAAAACCATTTTTTAAATTTATAAAATCTATTAAAGTTATCCCATTTCTCAATTTCACTTACATTTGATATGGGACATAAAAATTGATTTGAGGATTAATTAAGATATGAAATAAATAGGTTGAGGTGATTTGGAGAAAAAAGTTTGGTATTTTTTTCTTTGTTTTTTATTTTATTTGTTTTTCTTTTTTTGTTATTTTTTATTTATTAATTTGCTTATTAATTAATTAATTTTTTATTTACATACATATTTAAAATTTTAGATTATGAAATATTTTGATTATTTGACAAACATAAAAAAAAAAAACTAAAAATATGTGTTAGACAAATAAGTTTATAAATTTTTTATAATTTTATTTATTTATTTATTTGTATTATATAAATTTTAAAAAAATTGGAAATAGATGCACATTCTTCCAAGGATAAAATTAAAAGAAAATTGCAAGTGGTGCTTGAAATTCTAAGGTGAAGAATTTTTTGAAAATCTTACAAAAAGTGTTGGAAAGATTATGGAAGTATTCCAATAAAAAATATTTTATTTACTTTTAATAAAATATTTAGTAAAAAATAAAAGTTTGTAAAATAAAAATAAAAATAAAATAAACTTTTTTCTATAAAATTTTAAATTAATCCAATACTAGAGTTTTTTCAAAGAATACGAGTTTCTTAAATACTTTTAAGGTAAAAGAATTTTTTTTAGAATTCTATCAAAAAATTTTAGAAAACCGAAAAACGTATCAATATTTCAAATAATAAAATTTAATTAAAAATAAAAAATTATTTATATAGGCCTTTTTAGGATAATATAAGATAAATTAATATTATTTTTGGATGAATACTGTGAGGGTACCAATATCTTTTCGACATGTATATTAATCAATAAAACACAATAAAAATTATCCCAAGTAAGGACAACTTTCAATTGAAGGACAGCTTGCAATTGAACTGCCATATTCCTTTTTATTTGTCAAATAGCTATTTGTTGATGAAAAAATTTAATAAATTATTGGATTTAGTAGATAATTATGTGTTGTGTTTTAATTGGATTGAAACATGATGAGTTAAACTTTAATTGGATTTAGAGAAAGGAATGTGAGAGTTTGTCCAATGTTATAGTGTGATTAGGTGTGTCTTTTTTTTATGTATATAGGATTTGAGTTTTTATCATTATTATCTACAATAAAATAGAATAATCAAAATATAATAACAATTATAAATATAAAAAGATATAAAAATGAAAAATAAAAAAGTTAGTTTCCTTTTTTTGCTTTTTTTGTTTTAAATAATTTTATAAAAAAGTTTGTACTCTAAAAAAATAAGAAATTATACATTTTAATCAAATAATTAATAAAAAATACAACACTTATAATATAACATGAAAAAATAACAAAAATGTAATCGTAATATATTGAAACTATATATATATTATTTTAATTTTTATAATATTTTTTACTTTATTTTTTTATTATTTTTATTAAGATAATTAGTCTACCCTACATAACGGAAGACGAACCAATTCTAGTAGATTATTAAGGCAGCTTACATGTATACATTGTATAAAAACAATATGATACCTGCTACCTTTGAATTGCAATTTTCAACAAAGTCATACATGGAATTAATAATAGTGGAAGTAAAGTTGATGTGTGAGGTTAATTATGGAAGAAGATTTAATATATAGGATGAAAATATCATTGTTCATGTAGTAGTTAATCTCGGCGGTAAGAGTTTAGATCTCTTTCCCATTTTTGACATGCTGAAGGTACATGACTTCACAACATGTACTTTACACATGCATTGTTTTTTCTTTTTATATATTTAATTTAAATATATTCCTAAACATCTTCTTATTAAAATCTCAAATATTAATTTTAATTATCTTATTTGCAAATGAATTTTTTTTTTTACACTTTTTACATTCACTAATAAAAAAAATGTTATTTAAATTGCATTCTGAAATTTTATTTTTTCTTTTTAATTTTCTTCTCGCTTTATTTATTGATTTGCTTATTTATTATTTGCATACATCTTTAAAATTTTAGATTAGGAACATATTTTAATCATTTGATAACATAAAAGAAATTAAAAATATGTGTTAGATAAATAAATTTATAAATTTTTTATAATTATATTTATTTATTTGTATCATGTAACTTTAAAATTGAAAATAAATAAAAGCTTTTCCAATGATCAAAGTAAAAGAAAATTGCAAGTGTTACTTGAAATTTCTAGGTGAAACTTTTTTTAAAAATCTTATAAGAAATATTGAAAGATTTTGGAAGTATTCCAATAAAAATATTTATTTACTTTTTAATAAAACATATAGTAAAAAATAAAAGTTGGTAAAATCAAAAGTAAAAATAAACTTTTTTATTAAAATTTTAAATTAATTCGAAGACAAAGTTTTTTCAAAAATATGAATGATTTTCTTAAATACTTTTAAGATGGGAAAATTTTATTAGAATTCTATCAAAATATTAGAAAAAGCCTAAATTTTTTTAATATTTTAAATAATGAAATTTAATTAAGAATAAAAAACCATTTAAATAAAATCTTTTTAGTATAATATAAAATTAATCGGTATTATTTTTGAATAGAAATTAATGTGAGGGTGTTAATAATTTTTCCACACGTAAATTAATCAATAATATGCAATAAAAATTGTACCAAAGTGGAAACAATTCTCAATTGAAGGGCAACTTACAATTGAGGTGCCAATTTTTTTTTATTTGTCAAATAGCTATTGGTTGATAAAAACAGTTTAATACATTATTGTGTTTGGCAAGTCATAGCGTGTTGGGTTTTAATTGGATTGGCACATGATATGTTAGGCTTTAATTGGATTTGGAAAAAGGAATGCAGATGAGTTTTTATAGATTTTGAGTTTTCAAATCTTTTATTATCTACAATAAAATAAAATAAACTAAAATAGTAAAATATAATAATGAAAATATAAATAAAAAATAAAAAAATAAAATTGAAGTTATTTTTCTTTTTTCTTTCTTTTGTTTTAAATATTTTTATAAAAAATTTATAATCTAAAAAATAAAAAATCATATATTTTGATCAAATAATTAATAAAAAATATAACATTCAAAACATAACGTAAAAAATAACAAAAAATGTAATCAGAATATATGAAATACTCTATCTATTTTCAATATTTAATATTTTTATAATACTTTTATTTTTTTTTGTATAATTGTTTTTATATTAAATAATTAATCTACCCCAACATAATGAGGTACTAATTCTATTTTCTTTTAAAATGCTCGTGCATCCCAATTAATCCAACAAAAATGACATGTTTCTGCCTGAATATATTACCTATAGTGACAGTTAATTTGAGAATTGGAGGTGCTATCTGGATAGGAATTGAATGAAGCGTTTAATACTTAAATTTGCAAAATAAATATATTAAAATTTATATTTGATATATTGTTATTATATAAATATTATATACGGTTAATGAATTACAAAATAAAAATTAATTTTACATATGTTTTTAGAGTTAATTGTATTTATTTTTTAAAATTTTAAATTTATTTTCTATCATATATCATTATATAATTTATTAATAATATATAATATTTATAAACTAAGAACACATCAGATATAAACTAAATATGTTATACAACGATACAAGCGATCCAGAAGATTCTTTTTATAATATCTTATATGAAAATTTTAGCTGAAATTTATCTTATCTTTTTTTTCTTGTTTGGGTGGGGGGGGGGGGGGGGGGGGCGAAATTCCTTTAAGTTTGAGATATAATCTAGTCGGGTTAATCTGTCCCACGTGCATGTTTCATAACTTTAAAATTTTTTACCCAAGAAAATGATTGAAATTTGGTAAAAGAAAAGAAAAAGACGAAAGCAAAAGGTAGAAAAGCGTTGCTTTAAAAAAAAAAAAATTGAAAAGAGGGAGGGACTGATATTATATAAAAGCAACGAGCAAGGCTTGGCTGGCCAGTCAGCCTTAAAGCAAAGCTGAGTTGATCCTATGAGAATCGATAGTCAGACGGCGGACTAAGAGCTAAACGTACCGCTACAAATAATTCCTCTTTGGCCATCTACTGTCGGAATGGAATGCCAAACAACAACCAGTCAAGAGACTCTAGACCTAATCTAAGTTATGTTGGTTATGGATAAAAGAAGCAGAAACAGATTCTGCTTTAGCTATGTTTTTTACTTTTTCATATTTTGGGGAGAAAAGAGCAGCTAAAGAGGCTTTAGACTGCCAACTTGTCTACTTGGTGTCTTAGAAAACATGTTGGAATTTTGTACTAGGCTGCTATATTTGGAATATTTTTAAGGAAAAAAAGAACAGGATAATTTTTCAAAGAATGAGCTTGTCAATCAATTAATTCATCTTATATAAATATACACGTTTATATTTTACCAAAATTTAAAATTTAGTTTATATATTATAATTTATACAAATTTAATTATAATACTATTTTGATTTGATAATTTTAGTTCAATTAATAATTTTATCAATTTTTTACCATTAAAAATATTGATGTAGTTGCTAAGTTGATGACATGAATATTGACTTTACTAATGTGACAGTTAATTTTATTGATGTGGCATTATTTATTGACGTGAAATTTAAATGAATGAATCAATTATTAAATTACACAAATGATTCTTGTATTTATATTAAATTTAAATTTTAATCTCTGTACTCGTATGAAATTTAAAATTTAATCTCTTTAATATAAAAAAAATATTTTGAAATATTTTATAATTTTTTCTATTTTTTAAAAATATTAAATTTACTTTTCAATGTTTTAATTCTTTGAATTTTATTTTATGAATGTTTTTGTATTTTTAATTTTTTTTCATATTTAGAAATTTAGAAGTTTTCTAGAATTTTAAATATTTTGAATTTTTTAAGAAATTTTCTAGTATTTTTAAAA